TCCTTCAGGAGGAAGGTAAAGACGTGGTTGTGGGACCAGGCCTTTGGGCAATCTGACAACTAGATAAGGACATTCTGATGATTAGGACTGACAGGACTGACAATGTGGAATTGGAATCTGGACTATGAGATTGTGAAACGCTGACCGTTAATGAGGTTTGTATTGATTTTATTGCTTTTATTGTTTATTGGTTTTATGGTCGTTTTTGCCTATAATAATTATTGTTTTCTGTTAATTGTTGTTATTTTTAGAATTGCTGTTTTGTTAACTGATGTTATTCTCTTTTGCTGTTATGTGATGTGGGCATCGAATTGTGCCTTGCTTTTGTAAGCCACCCTGAGTCGTCCCCCCCCCCCCCCCCCCCCCCGGGGTGAGAAGGGCGGGGTAGAAGCAACCGAAATAAATAAATAAATAAATAAATAAATAAATAAGTGGGGTGTATTTGTCCAGAGTGGAAGAAAGAACCGTTGTCCGTTTGAAGCAAGTATGCAAAGTCAATCAGTGAGGGTCTCTGCCTAGAGGTAGCCTGCCCCCTGTTGCCTGGAGGCACCTTCTGTGCAATGGTGTCCAGGGTGGGAGGAAGAGACCTTGTCTGTTTGAAGCAAGTGTGAATGTTGCAATTGTCAAGTTTGATTAGCATTGAGTAGCCTTGCAGCCAGGTGACCGACCTACTCCCCGAAAGCCTCATGGGGTGACCGCATCAAGTCTCCGGGTCGAGGGGTTCCAGAAGGACGAAGAATCAGCGATGGCAGTGGCAGCACAGCAGCAGCGAGGTTTGGATTTGACAATCACCTGTTTTCCCTTAAAATATATTCTTAAAATTCAAAAGGTTATTCCCCGAGCGTAGGGGCCCGAAATGCAAAAAGTGAGATAGCAGATAGTGTTAGAAATTTGCTAGGAAAAATATGGCACCAAAATGGAGTCAATCCATCAACTCACGGATACGGGGGTGCTGAGGGGTTTCCGTATCCGCGGTTTGAAGAAACGCAGATTCGGCATCCCAGGGACGTCTGGAAGGCATCCCAGGTGGGCCGGTGGTCTCCCGCGGCCCAGAAAAGGTAAAATCATGCTTTTTAGTTGAGTGAGTCAAGGAAAAGAGACAAGGTATCATTCTGAAGAGGTAAAGGTTACAATTCAATTTGTCTTTATTGAGGGATTGGTTACATTGTTTGGGCTGGGGAAAGAAGCGAAAGGAAAGAGCACAAGGCTGCGAAGAGTCCCTGGTTGAAGCTGCTTCTGGGGCACATTTCATCAGTGCTGGCCCAACTGGGCATCCGGGAACTGCAGAACTCCCTGCGGCTGGTTAGATCAGCTTGAAGGCATGGGCCTGGGGTGCCCTCGGCATCACAAGAACTAAAAGAGGGACCCTTCCCTGCTGCTGCATTGCTGGTGTTCCCAGTGGCTCAGCCAAGGGCCTGTCTGGACATCCAGCCGCTCTCTCTCTCTCTGCAAATGCCATTAGAGGGGGGAAGGGCACGCCAGGCCAGCCAGACCCCCCCCCCCTTCCCAATACATATCCTTGCTTTGCTTGCCTATGAGGTGGAGGGGGGGGGGGTAAAGGCAAGCCAAGCCAGAGAGAGACACAAGACACAACACTTCCTCCAGCTGGGAATCGCCAGCAGACACAAGGCTGGCCTACGCTTCAGGGAGAAAGACTTGGCCAAATGGGGAATCTGTACGCAACACAACACAGAGGTTGTGTTTTGTGGGAACGGGCCTCACACCCAGATCCAGACCCTTTCGCTTTGATGGCAGGACCCCTCCGATCCCACTTTTCCAGCAGTGCTGCAGAACTCAAAAGAGGCACAAATGGAGGGCGAAAGGGAGAAACGTGCCAAGAGGACAGTATGTCAGGCCTGGAGGTCAGCTGTGACCAGCAGTGCTGCAGAATTCAAAGAGGCACGAATGGTGGGCGAAAGGGAGAAACGTGCCAAGAGGAAGGCGCGTCAAGCCTGGAGGTCAGGTGTGACAAGCAGTGCTGCAGAACTCGAAGAGGCACGAATGGAGGGCGAAAGGGAGAAACGTGCCAAGAGGACGGCACATCAAGCCTGGAGGTCAGCTGTGACCAGCAGTGCTGCAAAATTTGAAGAGGCACGAATGGAGGGCAAAAAGGAGAAACATGCCAAGAGGAAGGCACATCAAGCCTGGAGGTCAGCTGTGACCAACAGTACTGCAGAGTTCGAAGAGGCATGAAAGGAGGGTGAAAGAGAGAAACATTCAAGAGGATGGCGTGTCAAGCCAACCTGATTCGGATCACCTTCCGTCTGGAAACCAATGTCCTCACTGCGGGAGAAGATGCCCACTGGGCAAAACAATACAATATTTATAGCCTTCAAATTCAAAAGTTCCCATGCTCACCAACTCCCCCCCAAAGCTGGCTTGTTATGATTGGCTGTGATGTCAGCAAACCAGCAGGAGAGCCAATGGCGGCCTGAGCCCTGCTTTGGCCGCTCAGCCAATGAGAGGAAAGGGAGGTGGGCAACAGGGAAACAATGAAGAAATGTCTAGTTGCCAGGATTTAGGTGACCAATGTTTGCCAAATGGCTGGGTGATAACCTTTAGGCTCTCAAGCCCAGCCAAGGTTATGGTTTGATTCTTTGGATTAATGTTTCGGTCTAACTCCTAGAGCAGTGGTTCTCAACCTGGGGTCCCCAGATGTTTTTGGCCTTCAACTCCCAGAAACCCTAACAGCTGGTAAACTGGCTGGGATTTCTGGGAGTTGTAGGCCAAAAACATTTGGGGACCCCAAATTGAGAACCACTGCCCTAGAGGCTACATCCTTTATTTTTACAGTCCTGAGATAGGGAGTCAGTTGCAGAAGTCAATGTTAGTTTCTGGCCAATTGGGTTGTCACCATGAAAAAGGCTGTGGCGAAATCCTCTTCAAATTCTGCAGCACTGCTGGTCACAGCCAACCTCCAGTTAGAGCGTTCAAGGGCCAGGGCTTCCTAGTTCTCTCTCGGTGTCTATGCCACAGTTTTTGAGGTTGGCATTAAGCCCGTCTTTCGATGTCTTTTAAGCCCTAAGAGGCCCATTGCTCCATCCCTTCTCCCTCCCTCGGCAGTGTCCCTTGCAAGACCCTCCGGTCACACGCTCCTCTTCCTCCTCCAGCTGGAAGGACGGCCAGACTTCCCTTCCTCCCTCTCTCTTTGCCATAACTGGGCTCCCAGCCAGCGGCTCAGGGCTGCCTTGCAAAAGGAGGGAGCGGAGGAAAGGAGAGCCAGCTGCATTGTGCCTCTGTGCAAAAGGTGACAGCCGGGACCCTAGAATACATTCGTACACAGCCCTTTGGGTCTAGCCCTGCCATAGGGAACTCAATCAAAGCCCTCCCAACAGATAGTCTTCCAGATTCTTGTTAAAACCTCCAGAGAAGGAAGGAGACTCCACTGGACTTCAAGGCAACAACGTATTTCACCGGCAAACAGCTCTTCCTATCAGGAGACTGGGTTGCTGTGAAATTTTCAGGCTGTGTGGCCATGTTCCCCAGCAGCATTCTCTCCTGATGTTTCACCCGCATCTGTGACTGGCATCTTTGATGGTTCTGCTGAAAGTGAGGAGCTTCCCATCAACAAGATGAAATATCGTAGCAATGAAGATGGAAAATATGGTGGGGGCAATAACACATCCCTGTTAGCCTTGCAGCTGGAAAGTCAATAAGTGAGGGTATCTGCATAGAGGTAGCCTGGCCTCTGATGCCTGGAGGCACCCCCTGTGGGTGTCCATGGTGGGAGGAAGAGCCCTTGTCTGTTTGAAGCAAGTGTGAACGTTGCAACTATCAAGTTTGATTAGCATTGACTAACTTTGCAGTGGCAAAGTCAATCAGTGAGGGTATCTGCATAGAGGTATTCTGTCCTCTCTTGCCCGGAGGTGCCCTCTGTGGAATGGTGTCCAGGGCGGGAGGAAGAACCCTTGTCTGTTTGAAACAAGTGTGAATGTTGCAATTATCAAGCTTAATTTGCATTGAATAACTTTGCAGCTGTAAAGTCAATCAGCGAGGGCCTCTGCAAACAGAGGCCCTCACTATGCAGAGACCCTTACTGATTGACTTTGCAGCTGCAAGGCTACTTAATGCTATCCAAACAGGGATTTTCCATCTTCATTGCTATGATATTTCATCTCGTTGATGGGAAGCTCCTCACTTTCAACAGAACCAGTCACAGATGCGGGCGAAACGTCAGGAGAGAATGCTGCTGGAACATGGCCACACAGCCTGAAGATTTCAACCCAGCAACCCAGTCTCTTGATAGTAAGAGCTGTTTGCCAGTGAAATATGTTGCTGCCTGGAAGTCCAGTGGAGTCTCCTTCCTTCTCTGGAGGCTTTAACCAGAGTCCGGAAGACCATCTGTTGGGAGGGCTTTGATTGTGCCTTTGATTATTCCAGCTTGCTAATGGCAGCATCCACACTTGCTTTAAATAGACAAAGGTTCTTCCTCCCACACCAGACATTATTCCAAAGATATAATATACACTGCCAACAGAACCTCTGAAGATGCCATTAGCCACAGAGGCAGGTGAAATGTCAGGAGCAGGGG